ATGACAGTGGAAAAATGATGAATTTAATTTTACCACTCTCTTTTTGCTATCACATCTACATTCCGTTATATTTATATATCCAAAATTTGTGCAAATCGAATCGTGGTTATTTTTCTTGTTAAAAAATTAAAGCGATAAAATTTAATTTTCATGTAAAGACCCTATTTCAGCTTTTGAAGAGTCATGGCATGGAACCAACTTCAGTTGACAAATGCGACACCACTATGATTATTCATTTCATTTCTCTTTCTTTCTCCATCTTTGTAAATTTGATCTCCTTCCATTTTTTTTTGAAATCCTAAAATTTTCCATGTCACTATTGTTGCACGAAACTGTAGCTTCAAATCAATGATTAAAATTTCGTGCAATTCACTAAACTAAATTCTGAATTGAACTTTAAAAATCTAAAATATTAGCTACAAATAGTTTCACAATCGTTAAGTTAGGAGAATGATCGTAGACATATTTGAAATATAAGATTATTTCAGTAAAAATGGTCGATAAATCTTTCATGCAAACGATGAAAGTTTCTAACGAATATCATTATTTTTGATTAATGATTATTGGTTATTGATACAAAAATAATCACAAAACAAAAATCGCTGACATGGAAATTTAAAGATATTCATTTTGAATGAAAAATGATGGACTGACAATGAAGGAATATTTGATATGAAATCCAAAAAGAATATATATAAATTATGATTTCGATGTATTCACACTGTTTCATATTTATGCTCAAATTAATAATTGATAATGCTTTATATCGCTACGTGAAAGTTGTTGGATCAGAAAGATGATATATTCTTGGGAAAGTTAAAATTCCTTCATAAATAAATAAAGTGCTGCACGAAAATAATGATTAGGCATGGAACATCCGAGATTATCCGGTAATTTGTTTACAAAACATAACAAATTTAAATGATCGTAGCAGACACGGCAATGAAATTTAAACGTTTAATTAAGACAGCTTATGACGATTTCAAATTTTATCTAAATTAAGTTAGTTGAATAACCAATTAATGGAAACGTATGATCCATGTCAAATGGTAATTTCCTTGTATTATCTTAATTTAATAGTTTGAAGCATAATTGAATGTGACATTATCAAATTTTCGTAATTTTTTGTTTGTACGATTTTAAGCCGAAATTATGAAGCAAAAAACAATGAATATGGGACAACTGCGTAATAAGATTTGAAAATGACTAATTGATGGAAGTGGCTCGAAAAAAAAGATTACGGATTTGAAATATTTTACTGATAATATATATTTATCATAGCAACCTTATATAACAATAAATTAATTAAAAGTAAAGTAATAGCCTAGCCGTAGCAACCTCATAATCTAATCAAAGCCATCATAATAACCATTGCAACCTTAAATAGCTCAATCTACTTTGAAATATCTATTCACTAAGCAGTAATCCAATTAAGTGTGTGTCAGATTGAATGTTAACAGTTTCTTTTATACAACGGGTAACTCAAAAATTGCACACTTCTACTGTCAATCAAATTTAGTTAAATATAAAGAAGTTAACTAATGCAGCAAATATTTTCATGTCATTATGAATTTTCATGTATTAAAAACAAAAGTGTCATTACGAAAGTGTTTGCTGGAAAGATTAAACGGTGCATTATATTACTATTGTAATCAAAGGATATGAAAGAGGAATTGATTTTTTGAAAGTTCTGAATTTTAAAATTTTAGAAATTATTGATTATTAGTATTCGTACAGTTCAAAATAATTGTAATACAAAAGTCGCTAACATATGAAAATTTAAAGATATTCGTTTTGAGTGAAAAATGATGGATTGACAATAGAAGAATATTTGATATGAAACGCAAAAAGAATTTATTTAATTTTTGATTTTCAGAATCAGAAGCAGAACCCTGTCAAAATTTCAAATCAATTTCATGTCTGATATGATCATATTTATTTGTGGCTACATCAAAATCAAATTAATTGTTTAATATATTTTGAATATTGCTATCGTAATTTGTTCTCCTCTTTGACACTGTAAGATTACTTCCTGTTATACGATTATTATCAAAGTTGTAAGAATATTTTCAAAAATAATATGAAAAATTAATATTGCAAATTAAATGAATTAAGAACTAGTGAACTCTTAAAAAGCATTATGGTAGCAAAAACAAAGGATAGTTTTAAAAAAATTGCTTTAACAAATATATTTGAGTTTATTTACATTTTAATAAGATAGGGAATTAATATGATTTCATATATAACTAATTGGCACATGTCATAGATCGTGCAATGAAATGTTATTTCGTTCACCATTTGGATGTATTGTTGTTAGTGGTATTACTACGATAATTTGTTGTTGGCGTCTAATACCCAATAAATTAAACATCGCTTTACGGAATGGTGGCAAAACGAAAACTGTACATAATGCCAGTAGTGTTACACGAAACTGCAACTTCAAATTATTCATTCAAATTAAAGATTTTAAATTTTTACGAAGTAATTTTAAAATGAAAACAATAGAAAGAAAGAAGCAAAAAAAATGATTAAATCGTACCTTTAAAATAGTATATATTATACGGAAAAAAATTACTGATCGATCTATATTAATGGCCTTTCCAATAATAGCAACTGTAATAGTATTTATTGCTGAACTTGATGACAATTTTTTGTTTTATTTTTATAACTCTTAAAAGTTTTCCCTGCCTGTTTACTAGTGAAAAATAGTTTTGTGATTTAGAACGAACTCTTATAATATTCCGATCGATTAAGGAAATTTTCAACTGATATATTAAAAAAAGTCGAAAAGATATAAAAATGCTTCTAAAATCAATAATTCACTTAAAAAAGTACGATTAATTCGTTTGAACTTACATATTTGCAGTAAAGCTTAATTTTTAATGAATAGTCAAATTAAATAATCGTAATACGTTATTACAATTAAATTATTTAGTGAATGAAGAATTTGCCACTTAATCTCCGAGTTGTGGTTGGAATTTCAGATATCAAATTAAGAAATATTACATTTTTCATTATGATATGAAAGTATGAATTTAATTAAATAATTTCGGTACTATAAAAGTTAGTGAATTTATTACAATAGCTTACCGATAATGAAAAGATCCATTAGTGTGACTGGTAAAAAATAAAAGATAAGTGGTCTAAGCGCTTTTTTCAACTGTTGATTTTTACCGCACGATTTATGTCTACAGGCTGTATAAATCGCCTGTAATTAAAAAATGGAAACGAATTGTTTGAATTTTTTTGATCAGCAAGCTTTAAAGTCTTTTAGAGATATGAAAACACTGAAACTGTTATTTAACCAATTTCGTATAATTATGCTGAAGTAACTGAAATAAATTTAAAAGTTAAAAAAAGCTAAAAAAGGTTAAAATAGTAATTAACCAAAAATGATTTCGTGAAATTATGAAGAAATAAAAAAAATTATGCAAAACAGAATTTCTTTTTAATGATAAAGTTATTCAATAGAAAGGAAGGCAATCGGAAGAGAAATAAATGAATTTTTGTTTATAATACCTAATTCAATATAGCTAAAGGAAATAACTTACAGCGCATAATATTATGATCGAACTAAAATATATGATAGTATTTGTACAATAATAGCATATCACAGCAAATGCTGCAACTGCTTTATTACTAATGAGATTTAAACTTGCAACTGGAATTGAAAGCACCTGTGCTAATGAATAAACGAGAATAAATACCCGCGATTTCCTACAATTCATTACAGGTTAAGGAAGGAAGCGTACAATTTCATTTATGAACAAACCTTTATTTATTTAATTTCGAAAATGCTTAATTTTTTCAAATCTCTATATTGGGATAACGGAAAAGAATTAATTGAATTGAAATAATTTTTTTGACGTAAAAAAAGCATGTGGGAGCAAAAAATCACAGGTGTAAAAACAAAATTCTTACCAACCTTTTGAAAAAAGTCTTGAAAATCTTTCTTTTTAAAGCATAAATACTGTATATTTCAAGGATACAGGAGAACATTATCATACGTACCACTGCGAATGTCGTAATTTTCAGATAAATTGTAAACCAATGAAAGCTGAAATAACAATAGAAGTTTTACTTTCCTTTAAAATTTGACATTCATTAAAGATTCCAATGGAATTATTACACCCAAATGATATTTGATAACAAATTACATTCTTAAAATTGCTTAATCACTAATTTGCATTATAGCATAAATGCAATTTTACAAATATAATTCTTCCATAGTCGTTAAATGTAATAATTTTCATTACTCTTTGTTGTGAATACTTTAAAGTTAATAATTTCGAACACTGAAATTTGTTCAATTCCTTTTGGAATGATTATCGAAGCATAATATAATGGCGCATTTTATGGCCTTCCAATTTCTACTTCATTAACTATAATCAAATAATATTTATTTCAATTTTTAGATAAATTTTATAACGAATATTTGGAAGTGATTGAAGTTGTCTTTATGAATTAGTAAAACTTGAATTGCAATGTAAATTAGAGCAATAATAGACGAAAAATTGAAAATGAAACGATATGACAGGTAGCAATGCATCAATAATAATTTTTAATTTATATAATATAAATTAAAATAGGAAGTATCATCAAATGTTGAAATTAGTATTTAATATTAAGTAATATTATACATACTTTTATAAATCTAGTAAAACAGCAAACTAACTTATAATATCGCAATAATGGAGAAAGTTTGAAACATAAAATAGTCTTTGTAATAATATCCGAATTTATGAATCATTTTATCAATTTAAGCATAAAATTAAATTCTTCAAATTTATTCAAATAAAATATGAATTGGGTGGACATTATGTTAACGTAACAAATAAGCTTTTATTTGGATTAAATGAATAAACTTTGAATGAATGACCTTACTAATTGCTGATTTGCTAATGATAATATTACTTGTGAAATTTTTTTAATTTTTAATTTTCGTAATTTTTTAAAATTTCCTTTGCAATATGTGACAAACACTTACATCGAAAATGAAACTTCATTAGATGATTTCAGCTTTACTTCAAGTTCGACGCTCATATAATAACCAACGCTGGCAAGGCTGTATGCGGCCAATAAATTGATACCGTACCATTTCACAGCGACGTTTTCAACTTTCCAAATTGCGAACAATATGACAGTATTAGGAAGGATAACATCGAGTAAAAGGAAAAATAAATTCATTATACGATATTTACCAATAATCTAATGAATTTCAATCAATGAAGTGATATGATATATTAAGCTGAATGAAATAAGTTGAATGAAATCTTACAATTCAGTGATTAGTTTATATATGAAAATATATGAAAATCTGCTCATTGATAGTGCAGAACAGAGAAATGTGACATTAAAATCAGAATTAGTAATAATTAATTAGAAATGAGCACTAAATGGTTGTTGCTAATTAGTGCTGAGACAATGTATAATGTTGAAAAACTAATGGTTTGGCAAATCATCTTCGAATCATATTTACAATTTTAGTATTATCTCAAGCCAAACAATTTTCCACCTCAATCCAATTATTCTTTTGCATTTGTTATTTGTCACTTCCTATTTTTACGAAGACTTATAAACAAAACACTGAACAATGATAATTTAACTGGAATTCAAACGTCATCCTTTAGCATTTCTTATAATCCATTTGTTTACCAATAGAAAATGCAGAAAAATAAAGTTCTGCAATAAAGTTCAATTTAAGTAAATTCGATTTTTGGCAGATTTTTTTCCCCAATTGCTATAAAAACATAATATCATATCACTAATATCCAATTACTTTTTCAAATATCAAAATTAATTTGAATTATATATTTAATTAGCTACGAGAAATCACTGAAGATATAATAAAATATCATTACTTAATTACAAGAAAGGATAATGAATATTATGATATATCATAAAACAGGTATAAGTTATCGTATGCTGTAATGTTTAACAGTTGTCAAATGATTAGTCACTTGTCAATAAATAGTGATTTAACGATTAAAATCTATATAAGTGGCTTAGCAAAAAGTTGGCCACTTCATTGATATAACTGCAAATTTCAAGTTTTTTACGAAATCAAATTTCTGAAATCAAATGTTAGCAATTAATTTTGGCTACAAATAGTGGCTATTTAATATATCAATTATCATTAATTCAAGTTCTGCTTTTGATGTATTTAATGCCATTATGGAAAGTGTTTGCGAGAAAGATTAAGAGGTAACGTTACGATTGTAACCACAGGATTTTAAGGAAAACAAACAACGGGAATTTGTAGCAAAAACAAATCGGTAGCCAGAGAAATTGGCTGCAGAAAATAAATTTGGGTTCATTTGCATTTCAACAAAATAGATAAGTAATTTAATTTTTAATATGACTAATTATCATATGTCATAAAACATGAAGTTAAATGTTACTTCGTCCAGCATTTGAATGAATTTCAGTGAATGGTTGTACTACGGCAATCCGTCGTTGACTTTCAATACCCAATAAATTAAACAACGCTTTACGGAATGGTGGCAGTACGAAAACTGTGCACAATACAACTACTGTTGCACGAAACTATAACTTCAAATTACTGATTAAAATTAAAGTTTCTATGTTTTTTATGCAGTAATTTTAAAAATGAACAACAGAAAAAGTGAAACAAAAGAATCAAGTTATACCTTCATGTTAATAGTTATTATTTGGAATAAAACATCCAACCAATCTGTATTAATGGTTAATCCAGTAGCGCTGACTGTAACACAGTTTATTATTGAACTTGGCGACAGCCTTTTATTTCCTTTTTCTTCACCATTAAAATTTTCTCTTGCTTGTTCGTTTATTACAAAAAATTGGATTTGTGATTTAAAACGAATTCTTATTATTCTCCAAGCGATCGAAGAAATTCTCAACTGATTTATTAGAAAGAGTCGAAGAAATAAGCATAAAAAATACTGCTAAAATCAGTAATTTATAAAAAAAGTGCAATAAATTTGTTTGAATTTATATACTTTGAAAAATTTGCAGTAAAACTTTATTTATAATAAATTGACAAAGTTTTCATTTATCTCAGCAATTAATCATAATATATAATTGCAATTAATTTGAGTGAATGAAAGATTTGTTAGACCAATTCCCGACTTGTCGTTAGAATTCCATTCATTGAATTAAAAAAGTATTTTTCTTTTGCTAATGAATTTTATGATTCGATATATAATGAATATATCTAATTTTATGAAGTAATTTCGGTATTATAAAAGTTAATGTTGCAATAACTTACAGACTATGCAAAGATCGATAAGTGTAATCGGTAGAAAATAAAAGATGAGTGGTTTAAGCGCTTCTTTCAGTTGGTGATTTTCACTGAACAATTTATTTCTGTAGGCCGTATAAATTGCCTGTAATTAAGGAATGGAAGAGTTATCGAATTTCTTTCTATATCAGCAGGTTCAAAACCATTTTGTTTGTCCCTATTATACGCTGAACAAACTGATATTTATTGTTGTTCGTATTAATAAGCAAAATAAATTTTCTTAAAATTACTGAAATGAAATAGAAAATACTAAAATTATTATTTAACCAATTTTGTATAATTGTGCTAAAATAATTGAAATAAATATAAAAGTTATAATAATTTTTGTATATGTATAAAAGTTAAAAAAAGCTAAAAAGGTTAAAATAGTAATTAACCAAAAATGGCTTCGTGAAATTGTGAAGAAATGAAAAAATTATGCAAAACAGAATTTGTCTTTTAAATGTTAAAATTATTCATTTCAAAGGAAAACAATCGTTAAAGGAAAAATATGAATTTTGATTATATTAAGTAGATCGATGTAATTAAACGGAAATAACTTACAGCGAACATTATTATGATTGAATTAAGATATATAACAACAGTTGCACAATAATGGCACATGGTAACAAATGCTACAACTGCTTCATTTTTGATGAGTTTTAAACTTGCAATTGGAATTGAAACTGCCTGTGCAAATAAATAAGCGAGAATAAACACCCGCGATTTCCTAAAATTCATTAGAAGTTAGGTAAAGAGGGGTACAATTCTATTTATTGAATAATTTTTATTTATTTAATTTCGAAAATGCTGTAATTCGTTTAAATTACTAAATTGGGATAATGGTAGACTTCATTAAATTGAAATAATTTTTTTGGTGTAAAAAAATTTGTTAAAGAAAAAAGGACAGGTGTAAAAGCAAAATTCTAACCACCAACCTTTTGAATAAAGTTTTCAAGATCTTTGTTTTTAAAGCATAAATACTGTATATTTCAAGGACACAGAAGAATATTATCAAACGTGTCATTGCGAATGTCATCGTCCTCAAATATATTGCAAACCAATGAAAGCTGAAATAACAGAAATTTTTCTTCCCAATTTTGATGTTCATTAAATATTGAAATGAAATTTTTAAGCCAAATGACATTTGGTAACAAATTGTATCCTAAAAATTGCTTAATTTCAAGTTTGCATTAAAGCATAAATGCAATTTTGCAAATATAGCTTTTTCATAGCTATAAAATGTAATAATTTTCAATACATTTTGTGGTGAATACTGTAATGCTAACAGTTTTGAAAACTGAAAATTTATTTGATGCTTTTTTATGGATGTAATTCAAGCCCTTGCGCTATATATATTGTTCTAATTAACGATATGGATAGACTTCAGTATTTTTAACATACTCACTGATTACTTATTTGTTAATAATATTATTTTTATGAAATTTTTAAAATTTTCAAATTCAGTAATTTTAAAAGTGCTGTTTGCAATATATAGCAAACGCTTACATCAAAACTAAAACTTCGTTAGATGATTTCAGCTTTATTTCAAGTTCGACGCTAGCATAATATCCAACGCTGGCAAGACTGCTTGCGGCCAATAAATTGATACCGTACCATTTTACAGTAACGTTTTCAACTTTCCAAATTGCGAACAATATGATAGAATTAGGAAGGATAACATCGAGTAAAAGGAAAAATAAATTCATGTTACGGTATTCTCCGGTAATTTAATGAATTTCAATCAGTAAAGAGAGTAGATAAAATGCTGATTAATTATGACATGTCGTATTATGCTGAATGAACAAAATAAAATATATAACTACTTAATTGCAGAATATTACTATTTAATTACAACAATAAGAAATGAATATTATGAAATACTATGAAACAAATGTAAGTGATCGAATATCAGAAATGACTAACAGTTATCAAACAATTAATTGCTTGTCAACAAATAGTGAATGACGCATCGAAAAATAAATATTGCATTTCTACTACTGCTAATTTTTATTGTAAAATAAATTGGAATATATCTAAATTTTAATTTAAATGTATTTACACTGTTTCATATTTTTGCGCCATTTTATAATCGATAATGCTTTTTATCGTTACGTGGAAATCGTTGGATCAGTAAAATTATGTGTTATTAGGTTACTTACTGGTAATATAATTTTATCTTAGCCACCTTATGTAACAGTGAAACAGCTAAAAGTAAAATGATAGCCTAACCATAGCAACCTCACAATCTAATCAAAACCATCATAATAACCATTGCAACCTTAAATAGCAACAATCTACTTTGAATATCTATTCATTGAGTAATAATCCAATTAAGTGTGTGTGTGTGTGTGTGTTAGATTGAGTCTTAACAGTTTCTCTTACACAAATTAACGGATAACTCAAAAATGACATACTTCTACTGTCAACAATTAAAATCAGTTAAATATAAAGCAGTAAACAAATGCAGCAAATATTTTCATGTCATTATGGAAAGTGTTTACTAACAAGATTAAACGGTGTATAATGTTACTATTGTAATCAAAGGATTTGAAAGAGGAATTGATAATACCTTTGAAAGTTTTGAAATTTAGCAATTTTAGAAGTTATTGATTGTCAGTTATTCATGCATTTAAAAATAATTGCAAAACAAATATTGCTAAATACGAAAATTTAAAGATATTCGTTTTGAGTGAGAAATGATGGATTGATAATGGAATATTACTTGATATGAAATGAAAAAGGAATTCATTTGATTTTAGATTTTCTGAATCAGAAGCTGAACTATGCCAGAACTTGATTTCAAATTTTGAAATTATAATTAAATCAAAATCAAATTAATTGCTTAACACATTCTTATATTCGGTCATCAATGTTGCTGTCGTAATTTGTTCGTTTTGTTGAAGTTATAAGATTATTTTCAATTGTACGATTATTGTCAAAGTTGTAAGAATATTTTCAAAAATAATATGAAAAATTAATATTGCAAATTAAATGAATTAAGAACTAGTGAACTCTTAAAAAGCATTATGGTAGCAAAAACAAAGGATAGTTTTAAAAAAATTGCTTTAACAAATATATTTGAGTTTATTTACATTTTAATAAGATAGGGAATTAATATGATTTCATATATAACTAATTGGCACATGTCATAGATCGTGCAATGAAATGTTATTTCGTTCACCATTTGGATGTATTGTTGTTAGTGGTATTACTACGATAATTTGTTGTTGGCGTCTAATACCCAATAAATTAAACATCGCTTTACGGAATGGTGGCAAAACGAAAACTGTACATAATGCCAGTAGTGTTACACGAAACTGCAACTTCAAATTATTCATTCAAATTAAAGATTTTAAATTTTTACGAAGTAATTTTAAAATGAAAACAATAGAAAGAGTGAAGCAAAAAAATGATTAAATCGTACCTTTAAAATAGTATATATTATACGGAAAAAAATTACTGATCGATCTATATTAATGGCTTTTCCAATAATAGCAACTGTAATAGTATTTATTGCTGAACTTGATGACAATTTTTTGTTTTATTTTTATAACTCTTAAAAGTTTTCCCTGCCTGTTTACTAGTGAAAATTGGAACTGATTTACTAGAAAGAGTCGAAGAAATAAGGATAAAAGTATTGCAGAAATCAATAATTCATCTAAAAAAGTGCGATTAATTCGTTTTAACTTAAATATTTTGCAGTAAAATTTAATTTGCGATGAAAAAACAACCCGGCGAATTCTTAATTTATCAAATTAATTTATCATATTACAATTAAATTGTTTTAGCGAATGAAGAATTTGTCAATTTAACATCCGACTTGTGGTTGGAATTTCATATATCAAATTAAGAAATATTACATATCTCATTGTGATATGAAAGTATGAATTTAATTAAATAATTTCTGAATTAAATTAATAAACTATAAAAGTTAATGAATTTATTACAATAGCTTACCGATAATGAAAAAATCCATAAGTGTGATTGGTAAAAAATAAAAGATAAGTGGTCTAAGCGCTTTTTTCAACTGTTGATTTTTACCGCACGATTTATGTCTACAGGCTGTATAAATCGCCTGTAATTAAAAACTGTTTGAAGTTTTTTTGATCAGCAAGCTTTAAAGTCTTTTTGAGATATGAAAATATTGAAATTATTATTTAAGCGAATTTTTATGATTATGCTGAAATAATTGAAATAAATATAAATGTTAAAAAGGTTAAAAACAGTTAAAATAGTATTTAACCAAAAATGATTTCGTGAAATTGCGAAGAAATAAAAAAATTATGCAAAACAGAATTTCTTTTTAATGATAAAATTATTCAATAGAAAGGAGAACATTCAAGAGAGGAATAATTAGAATTTTGTTTATATTGATCATTTTACTGCAGTTAAAGAAAATAGCTTACAGCGCATAATATTATGACCGAACTAAGATATAGAATGGCATTTGTATAATAATAGCTTATTGTAGCAAATACTGCAACTGCTTTATTATTAATGAGATTTAAACTTGCAACTGGAATTGAAAGTATCTGTGCAAGTGAATAAACGAGAATAAATACCCGCGATTTCCTATAATTCATTACAAGTTAGGGAAGGAAGCGTGCAATTTCACTTATGGATAAATTTTTATTTATTTAATTTCGAAAATGCTTAATTTTTTCAAATTACTAAATTGGAACAATGGCTGTTAATTAATTGAATTGAAACAATTTTATTGATATAAAAAATTTGTCGGGGCAAAAAATGACAGGTGTGAAATCAAAATTCTTATTACCAACCTTTTGAACAAAGCTTTCAAGATCTTTGTTTTTAAAGCATAAATGCTGTATATTTCAAGGATAGAAGAGAACATTATCAAACGTGTCACTGCAAATGTCGTCATTTTCATATAAATTGTAAAGCAATGAAAGCTGAAATTTCACAAACATAATTGTTTCATTACAATAAAATGTAGTAATTTTCAATACTTTTTGTTGTGAATGCTTTAAAGCTAACAGTTTTGAAAACTGAAAATTTATTTTGTGCTTTTTTTAGGAAATAATTCAAGTCCTTGAGTATATATATTATATTTAGTAATTGTTTAAAGCAAAGCAATATATAGCAAACACATACATCGAAAATAAAATATCGTTGGATGATTTTAGCTTTTCTTCAAGTTCGAGGTTTATATAGTAACCAACGCTGCCAAAACTGTATGCAGCCAATAAATTGATACCGTACCATTTTACAGTAACGTTTTCAACTTTCCAAATTGCGAACAACATGATCGAATAAGGAAGGATAACATCGAGTGAGAGGAAAAATAAACTCATTTTACAGTATTTCCCAGTAATAAAGTTAATTTCAATCAATAAAGTGATTAGATAAAATGTGAAGTATGATATGATGTATTAAGCTGAATGAAATAAATTGAATGAAATCTAAAAATTCAATGATTAGTTTGCAATATGAAAATCTACTCATTGATGCTGCTGAAGACAAAGTGTGACACTAAATCTGCTCATTGATATTGCTGTAGACAAAGTGTGGCACAAAAAATCAAGATTAATAAAATTAATTAGAAATGGAGCACTAAATGACTGCTGCTAATCATTGCTAAAATAATAATTAACATTGACAAACTATAGTTTTGGCAAATCATTTTCGATTCATAATAACAATTTTAGTATTATCTCGAGCAAAACAATTTTCCACTTCAATTCATTTATTCTTCCGCTTTTGTTATTTGTTTCTTCTTATTTTCACAAAGACTTATAAACAAAACGCTAAATAATGAAAATTTAATTGGGATTCAAACGTCATGCTTTTGCATTTCTTATAATCTATTTGTGTTGTGTGAAAATTAAAATAACAAAATAATAACACTAAATAACCAGTTATACACCTGAACTTCTTTGCATGTCCTAATATTCAAACTTTTATTGAGGATTAAAAAAAAATGTAGTGGATTAAAAAAATTGTAACCTAAATTAAATTAAGAGTATAAGCAAAATTGTTTGAAAGTAATCAGAGAAAGAAGGTTGCTGATTATTTAATAGATCAGAACTTTGTACATTAAAAGAATTTATACCCATGCTCATAGCATATGGTTCCGTACGACCTACGGTATTTACAAATAAAATCTGAATTTGGAATATTTTTGACCTTTTCTTTAAAATGATTCGTTTTATTGATATTATTCCGATGTGCATAATTCTGAATGTTGCTTGAATTTTACCTAAAATATGATTTGGAGAATTTTAAAAACTTATTACAAATTTTAATGATTGAAAAAGTATAACCATCCGATACAATTGGTAATAGCTTATAATTCTTAAATAAAATTTAGACAAACAAATTTAAATATTGATGATAACTAAGTAATGTAATTGATGAAAATCACAATGTTTGATGGAGACCTTTATTTGAAATACTTCAAGAATTTAATGCTATCAAGAATTAGTTCTCACAGAATAAAATATCGCATTTACTCCATCATAAAGAGTAGTGAAGCAAGGGCAGTTTAAAGACCAATTTATTTAGAATTAAAATTCCGTACGGAAATTTTTGGGTATGTTAAAGAAGCATTTCTTCCTAAATCAAGATACTTATCAAATGAAGATCGTTTTTTTCTCGAAGATTAATTTTAAATTACATTTAAAATCTCATATATTTCGACAATTTTTTTGCTATCAAAAAATGAAAAGAAAACTGAAAATTTCAAGTAACAAAACAAAAATTTTTCATCGAGTAAATTAATTGAATATTGTAATTAATGAAATCAGCTAAGATAACAAAATCAATCACGTCATTCACATCAAAAAGAATTGACGCCATAATAAGGTGTCAATAATATAAAGGTAGGAACTTATTTTTCAATTTTTATGAAAATAATGAGATATTATTAAAATTTATATAGCTAATATGAAGGCTTGAAATTAAAGAATGATTTTGATTGAGATTTAGAGAATTTTTATTTAGATGATAAGATATGAAGTGAGGTGAATAAATATCCAATTTATACTCAAAGCAAGAATAGAAGAATAAAGGAATTGATCATAAGGAAGTAACCATGAATATGTATCATTCTTATTTTTTATTATTAAATTTTTAAAAATATGTGATTCAATTCTTATTATATATTGGAATAAATCATTGATAATCCATTATAGTTTGCTTGCTTAATATATTTTATTGATATTTATTTACTTTTTCAAATTTTTTGACCAAAAGGCAAACTTTACATTAGAGTTTTTCGATGAATTTTGTTTTCTATTAAAAGCAAAAATCTGTTTTATTTTCAGTATTTTATACTTATTATTGTAAGCGTAATGAAACAGTCACGTTTACATGTTTACACGTTTACATTTACCTGTGTTTTTATTTTTTATTATCATTATTATATCAATAAATTACTACAACTTATGGTAGTGGAGATCATTAAATTTTTGCTGGTTGAATTATATCTAACTGCCTGAAATAAATGGAATGAAATTTCTTATATATCAAATAATCAGCATATTGTCGATCAATTCCGATAACATTATCAGGTAAATTTCTTTAAGGTATAAATTGATATACTCAGCAAATATTAGTGAAGCATTATTTTAGGTGTTATGAATAGCGTGAAATATTGCACTTTTGATTTTTTAAATGAGCAAAAAAAGCTGTCATTAAAGCGTAATAAAAAAATTCTTTCAGAATTTACTGAAATTGATTGATGCATTTGTTTACAAAATACCTGCTGGAACTGTGTTATTATTATTGTTATGTTAACTTCCTTTTTCCGTCTTCATTTGTCGCTTTCATCATGTAATATTAAATTTCAAAAATAATCGATCAAACAGAAAATTTAATTTAGTTAATTGTTGGTTAAAAATTCGAATGATTTTCTAAAACGTTTACCAAATTTCTAATCAAAGAATTATTAGGAATGGAAAATATAAAATGCTTTGTGGCAATAGGTAAATATGGATTAATTTATAAATTAGAAATAATATTAAAAATTTGAAAATTTCTATTTAATATAAGTTTTATCTTTTATTCGAAATGTTTTGTTTCATTTTTAATTTCATATCCTTAACTATTCATTGAATAATTTCACAGTCTTTTTTCAAGTTCAAATCAAAAATTTTTAATTTCCTGTTTGGGATCTCTTTGCGGTGTAATTTATAGCAATCTCTTATGAATAATATTTCAAACTAATGAATGGTTTTTGTTCAGTGTAAATCATGTTATTCTATTCATTAAAGCATTTATAACGAATCAATTAAAACAGAGTCAAGCAGGTAATTAGTTACTATCCAAATTTATCCATTTGTTTACTTTGAATACCTGACAGATCATTACATTATTATCACAAGAAATAAATAAAAGAAATATGGAATATTTAATTGAATATTAAATAGCACAAAATGAATTAATGAAATTTATATTAATCATGATTTTATTATATTCTTCTGATGAATGACTTGCAGAATGTGATCGAATCTATCAACCTGTTGACAATACTAAATATTTGAAGTTATAGTTAATTGGCAGTTAAATAAATAAATCAATGCAAATTTTACATAACGTTTTTTTCCAAATGATATTAACTAAATTCAAGTGGTTAATAACTGAAGGATTATTTAAGTCAAAATTATTTTGACGCTCATATACATTGAAAGTATTCGATTTTTATTATAATAAGATTGAAGCATTAATGAAATTTTTAATAAGTTCAAACAAAATAAATTCAACTTATAATGAAGAAAAAAAATGATGAAGAAAATATTATAATGAAGAAAATATAAAAACTATGGTACTTATTATAATGAAGAAAATATAAAACTATGGTACTCTGATTTTTTATACTACCCGTAGACACAAACATTAGGAAAAAAAGAAAGATTACAACAAAATCAAATTTCCGAAACATTTGAAATTTTATATTTATAATTAGAAACTCTTAATATTTCACTTTTGAAATTTTTCATCTTTCTTTCAATAATCAGAAATTAAATTCATTTGAAAAATTAACAAGGACTTGCGAATTAAATAATGGGTAGAATGGAAGGCGGTGGTGATGGCATTTTCGTTGAAATCCCGGAAATCGGTGATTTCGGCAGTGGACTTAATGGTTCAGTTAATGATGTTGGTGAATTGCTTAGATGATGTGACAGTGTCAATGCTATCCTTGATTGTGATTCTGTTATGTCTGCATATTTCTTCCGCAAATTACAATAATATTAATTATATTTTAAAAGTTTTCTTATTTATCAAAAAAAGAGGTTGAGGTTCAAAATTGAGAAAAATGAGAATAAAGCAAAACTTTTTGTCGTCGTTCTGATCGTTTGTATGCAACCAAAATCAACAAGGCAGCTGATAATGCAAAAATGATAAGAAATAAAAATAAAATTTCAATTTCAGAAAATTGTGATAAACCGTAACGAGCGCCGAATAAAAATGGACAATCAGCAACATGATCAAGTCTATAAAATAAAATATTAACAAATTTTATTAAGAATTTTAATTAAAAAACTAGGAAGCAATTCGAATTTAAATTTTCAACAAAAAATTTTATGAATTTTTTATTTTACTTTTATTTTATTTTATTTCTTTTTTCCAAAAAAGAAATACGGTTTAAATTTTTGTTAAAAAATTATTTTTGTTTCAAGTATATTACAAAATTTGTAATTAATAATTATGCATCAAATTTCTTAACTTTATTAGCTATCTTATATGTTGGTATTTGAGATAATTTTTTCGATGGAATATAGTATTACCTGTATACAGGTGTGCCTTGAAGATGTTCAGGTGTTGCACAACAAGTATGTTCGTATTGCAGCTCACGCCGATAAACATAACGATCCAACATGTGACGCTTCAACTCTTCCACGTAACACGTGCAGTCTAATGGATTACCGTGTAAGCTAACCCTAAAATTAGAGAAAGAAAAAAAAAGAAAAAGAATGGATTCATAATTATTTACAATTGCCAGCTCATATAGTTTAAGAGATTTTTTTCTTTACAATGACAATGATGAGGTTTGATTTGAAAATACAACAAACCTTTTGTAGGTAAATTCTGCTAAAGCACTCACTACGACTTTAGGCCTACAAGTGTGTAGGATGATGGGAAGAACACATCAACGATAAATTGGTGCAAACAAAGCAATGAAACTAAAAGAATTGATATCACTGATAGGAACTGTTTCGATAAATTCCACACCCTGTGCTTCTATATTCATGGATTTTCTTGTCTCCGTCAAATACTTGGATGGTTCTTGTACAGTTATATTCACTCCATTCTACCTTTCTTAATGCCGGAATCTGTAATACCGGTTAGAATTAATATGCAATACTTCAATAAGATCAGCGGCGAATCAGCAATAAGATGTAGGTATGTTTACACCACATTCTTTCTGTTCAAATTAATTGTCAGGAAACGGAAAAAGTTACAACTAGACATGTTTTATCTATATCAAGTTGGAATGCTGAATCGATCTTTCCGTATTTCTTGGAATTTTCTGAAAATACTTTTGAGCATATCATCATGTTATATTAACTGCTTACGGGAAAAGTATAACAAGGATGCAACGACATTGGTGGAGATGTGTTTTTGGTAAGAATTTTGAAACTATACGATAATCAACCATCTAAAAAACTCTCGCATGATTATTATTAAAGTATTCCAAAAGCAAAGAAATTATTAGAAATAGATTATCGATTAATGCTATGATTACTCATCATGCCGTATTGATAATCGTCTTGATTTCGTTCGGGCAACAACAGATGGCTTATATATTTCCGGAATATTATATATTTCATTTTCGGTAGAATTCTGTATCCATATCGTTATTTAGAATGTCTCAGGAGAGTATTTAGTATAGTTCCCTATCCACCTTAGATAGCTGACAATTACATCACGTACATTTCATAAATCATAAATCATAAAATCATAAATCTTGGGCATACAGTCCAATAGCTACATCAATGCCGCTTATTATGCCACAAACATGCGACTTTTTCACAACTTTAGATCAATTAAATAGCTACAGGTAATTCGCTTTCTTCGGTCAAGTTGCAATTGTAAGCAGTTAAAGTTGTAAGCAAATTGTAAACAGTTCAAGAAATTGTAAACAGTTCAAGCTTGAATATGTAAGCACTCAAAATTCATGTTAATATCATTTTATATTTTAAGGCTAGACCAAAAGACATAGGTGAAAATCAACAATGCATTACCAAATAATGCAAAAAAATCAATGTGCCAATTATCTGAAAGTACATTTTTTAATTTTCGGAGAGAACAAAAAAGTTGCAGCAATTCGCTCCTTTTTAAAATATTATGTGTTTTAAAAACTATTGATTACATCATTAGACTAATATGATATTTGCAAATCAATGATATCGTTTTTTATAAATAATTTTTGATTTGAAAATAAGAAAACAAAAGTTGATTTCCATATAATTTGAGTTAGAAGCGATAATTGCGAATTGATAACTGACACTAAGTACTTTGCTAATTACAATTCTAATTTCCACTATGTTTTTCTACATTAGTTGCTAATATTTTTACAACTTATTGTTTCTTCATCATTTATGGCATTTATAATTTTAACTATTTTTCTTTTTCAAAGAATTACTTCTTCCTTTCTAAACGTTATTCTGTTAGTTTGGAAAAGTTATGAGACTTATTTTTGGTAGAAAGTATAATTGCAAAATATTGCAATGAAAATTGAATTCAAGAAAATAACTAGCATTAGTTATTGGTGACAATGATAACCGATAATTGACAAGTAATGGAAATTTGCAGCAAAAACAAATCGATAGCTAAAGAAATTTGCTGCAACGAATATTTTTGAGTAAATTTACGTCACAATAAAATAGGCAAATAATTAAATTTTTAATATAACTAATTGGCATATGTCATAAACTATGCAATCAAATGTTATTTTATCCAACATTCGGATGAGTTTTAGCAAATGGCAGTACTACGGCAATCCGTTGTTGACGTTTAATACCCAATAAATTAAACATCGCTTTACGGAATGGTGGCAAGACGAAAACCGTACATAATGCCAGCACTGTTACACGAAACTGTAACTTCAAATCATTGATCAAAATTAAAATTTGTAACTTATCATAAAGTAACTTTAAAAATAAAAAAAACACGGGAAAAAATCAAGCGAGAAAATGATTAAATCATACCTTTAAAATAATACTTATTGTACGGAATAATATTACCGACCGATCAGTTTTAATGATTGATAAAAAAACACTAACTGTAATATTGTTTATTATTAAATTGACGGCGACTTATTATTCTTCATTATAAAAATTATTTTCTCGCTTGTTCTTCTATTAGCAAAAATTGGATTTAAAAGAAATTCTTTTTATATTCCGATCGATCGCACAAATTTTCAACTGATTTATTAAGTAAAGTTGAAAAAATAAGCATATATCGAATTAACAAATGCTGCCACTTCTTTTTGATAATGAAGTACTGAATTTGATTAAATATTTCCAGTACTTCAATGTTAGGGAATTTAATGCAGTAACTTACCAAAAATGCAGAAGTCGATCAGTGTGATCAGTAAAAAATAAAAGATGAGTGGTCTAAGAGCCTTTTTCAACTGTTGGTTTTCTTTGAATAATTTATTTCTATAAGCTGTATAAATTGCCTGTAATCAAGAAATTGAAATGAATTATCGAAGTTATCTTTTATCAGCAAGTTCAAAACCTTCATGAGAATATATTTTGTCCCTATTATACGATGAATAATACACTGATATTTATTGTTGTTCGTATAAATAAGCAAAATAAATTTTCTTCTTAAAATCTGAAATGAAATAGAAAATACTAAAATTATTATTTAACCAATTTCGTATAATTAACTGAAGTAATTCAAATCTAAGTGAAAGTCAAATATTTTATAATATATATTAGTAAAAAAGAAGCTAAATAAGGTTACCAAAAATGGTTTCATGAAATTGTGAACAAAAAAATTAGGCAAAACTAAATTTGTCCTTTAAGATTAAAATAGTCAATAAAAACAATTAGAAAAGGAATGGATCGAATTCCGATTATACTAGCGATTTCAGTATAATTAAGAAAACAACTTACAGCGCATAATATTATGATTGAACTAAAATATATAATAGCATTTGTACAATAATAGCATATCACAGCAAATGCTGCAACTGCTTTGTTACTAATGAGATTTAAACTTGCAACTGGAATTGAAAGCACCTGTGCTAATGAATAAACGAGAATAAATACTCGCGATTTCCTATAATTCATTACAAGTTAGGGAAAGAAGCGTACAATTTCATTTATGGACAAACCTTTATTTATTTAATTTCGAAAATGCTTAATTTTTTCAAATCTCTATATTGGGATAACGGAAAAGAATTAATTGAATTGAAATAATTTTTTTGACATGTGGGAGCAAAAAATCACAGGTGTAAAAACAAAATTCTTACCAACCTTTTGAAAAAAGTTTTCAAGATCTTAGTTTTTAGGGCATAAATACTGTATATTTCAAGGATGCAAAAGAATATTATCAAACGTATCACCACAAACGATATCATTTTCAGATAAATTGTAAACCAATGAAAGCTGAAATAAAAAATTATTTTCTTTCCAAAAAATTTTATTTTTCCTTCCAGTTTTGATATTCATTAAGTATTCAAATGGAATTATTTAACCCAAATGATATTTGGCAACAGTTTATATTCTTAAACTTGCTTAATTTGCATTAAAGTATAATTTTAGTAAAACTTGGATTGCAATGTAAATAATAATATATTTAATGTTATGTGATATTATGCATATTTTCTCAAATATAGTAAACAGCGAATTAGTGTGGAAAATCGCAATATTCGAGAGAGTGGAACATAAAATGGTTTTTATAATAATATTCGAATTTATGAATCATTTTATTCATTTAAGCATAAAATTAAATTCTTCAAATTTATTCAATTAAAATATAAATTGGGTGGACATTATGAATGTAACAAATAAGCTTTTTTTGGATTAAATGAATAAACTTTGAATGAATGACCTTGCTAATTGCTGATTTGTCAATGATAATGTTACTTGTGATAATTCAAATCATAAAGCTATATATATTATGTTGATTAACTATATGTATAATTTTCAATATTATTTAACACGCCTACTAATTGCTGATTTGTTAATGATAATATTACCTGTGAAATTTTTTTATTTTTCAACTATTTCGTAATTTTTAAAATTTCCTTTGTAATGTGTAACAAACACTTACATCGAAGATAAAACATCGCTAGATGATTTCAGCTTTACTTCAAATTCGAGGCCTACATAAAAACCAACGCTGGCAAGACTGTATGCAGCCAATAAATTGATACCGTACCATTTTACAGTAACGTTTTCAACTTTCCAAATTGCGAACAATATGATGGAATTAGGAAGGATAACATCGAGTGAAAGGAAAAATAAGTTCATTTTACGGTATTCCTCGGTAATCTAATGAATTACAATCAATAAAGCGAGTAGATAAAATGTTGAGTGAATATGATGTGATGTATTAAGCTGAAACAAAAATTGAATGAAATCTAAAAATTCAGTAATTAGTTTGAAACATGAAAATCTGCTCATTGATAGTGATGAAGGAAAAATGTGACACTAAAATCAAAATTAATATAAATTAATTTGAAATGGAGCACTAAATGATTGTTGCTAATTAGTGCTAAAACAATAATTAATATTGACAAACTTATGGTTCGGTAAATCATTTTCGATTCATAATAACAATTTTAGTATTATCTGGAGCCAAACAATTTTCCACTTCGATTTATTTATTCTTTTGCATTTGTTTGTTTCTTCTTGTTTTTAACAGAATGCTAAATAACGAAAATTTTATTGTAATTCAAGCGTCATCTTTTTGATAATTTATTTCTCTACCAATAGAATATGCAGAAGAATAAAGTTCAATTTAAGGTTATTCAATTTTTGCGAAATTTTTTCGACAAATACTCTAGAAGTCTTGTATGACATCGTTGACATCTAATTACTTTTTCAAATATCAAAATTATATATTTAATTACCTGCAAGAAATCATTAAAGACATAGCAAAATATAACTATTTAATTACATGTATAGATAACGAATATTGTGAAATATTACAAAAACAGGCATTAGTGGTTGAATGTCGGTAATGTTTAGCAGTTGTCAAACGATTAATTATTTGTCAACAAATAGAATTTAATGATTAAAATCTATATAAATGGCTCAGCAAAAAGTTGACAATTTCATTGATACAATTGCTAATTTCAGGCTTTTTACGAAATCAAATTTCTGAAATCAAAGCATTTAAAATAATTTCACAATTTTTAAGTTATGAGAATGATCATGGACATTTCTGGAATTCTAACAAATATCATTATTTTCGGTTATTGATTGATAGTTATTCGTTCAATTAAATATTCATTTATTTTTTTAATTACAAAACAAAAATCGCTAACATATGGAAATTAAATGATATTCGTTTTGAAAGAAAGATGATGGATTGGTAATGTAATAATTTTTGAAGTGAAATGCAAAAGGAATTTATTTAATTTCAGATCTTGATATTTAACTTCTTGAAAGACAAGCAATATTTTGAAAAATAATTAAG